CTGTCTTATATGAATGTATACAATGCTTTTCATATCCTTTTTATAAATTTATTAGTAGCTGTATATTGGATTTGACTATAAGGCAATGTATTTATTTTTAACTACAGATAGCCCATGACTTTTGATTGCTCAACTTATATTTCAAAGTTACCTTTTTTCTTTTTTTTTTTTTTTTTTTTTTTTTTTTTTTTTTAAAATTGCAATTTGATTTAGTAGCCAATAAATACCAAATGTTTTTATTAAATTCCATTAAATAGTTGAATTTTAGTTTTTTTCTTTGTAAAAGGGTGTCTATTTTTTGATAATTTGATCAATGGAGATGTTGATGATCCTGCTGAAATGAACATTAAAAGCAATTACTGATTTATTTATGCCATTATACAAAGGGTAATTGATTAATTTCATTTCATTATGAGCCATGAACTCTCTCTTTCAATTAATGAATTCAACTGAAAATTTAATGTTAAGAAAAATTTAAGAACTTGAGTTTTTATCTCTGTAGAATACATTTAAAAGGACTTTTCAATTTATATTTTCATCTTAGTCCCTATCGAAAGTCAGGGAAAATCTAGTTTTAAAAATTATCTTATTGTTTTGTTATCTTTGTATGATATTTTTGCTTTGCCAATTACTGTAAATGTCCTGTGCTTCATTAAAATCCCACCTACAACACTGTATGTTCACAATGATTTGCAATAAATTTGTAACTTTAAATATAACACTGTGTGTACTTATTAATTTGTTCCATTATGGTCTGTAAAATTAAGTAATTATTAATTGATAAAACTTCTTTTGATTGGTTTCTTCAGAAAACTAAGATATGTTGATACCACCTCGTCTTAAAAGTATTCTTAGTACTACCAATATAGAATTTATCAACTTTCAGATCCTCTATTGTAGAGATAGTACTTAGGTAAACAATAAATTTAGTTAAACATTTGTTTAGGAAGCACTAAACAAATGATTAACTAAATCTCTTGTTTACCTAAGTACTATCTCTACAATAGAGAATCTGAGGGTTGAAAATACTATAATGGTAGTACTAAGAATTCTTTTAAGATGCGGTGGTATCAAAATATCTTGTCCTTTACCAATAATACTTATAGAAATAATACATCACTTTCTAAATATTTTTGGAGTTTAAAAGGTGATAATAAAACTCCCAAGGTGAATTAGAAAATTTTAAAAATGGCAAGGACACGTAGATCTTTATATGAACCTCATTTTCTGTGTTTACATTAAAAATTGGAAATTATTAGGTTTTGGATAAGAATTCTTTATTAAATCAAAGATCCAAATTGACAGTAAATTGTAAACACAGTCTACCTTTTACCTTACAATTCAGTTAGACATTGGAATCTGACAATGTTTTCTCTGAGATTTTAGTGGAACTGTGTTGCATCATATCAAGCTTATCTTTCTATTTGCATGATTAATCTTGGGTTTAATTTAATTCTGTATTGTTTTCCTGATAGTATTATTAACATCTTATACAGATGTATTGGTATTTAGTTAGTATTTGTGACATTTTACATTGATCGGTTGATATTATTAACATCTTATATGGATGATATTTATTTAACAGTTGCATATTATTTACCAAATAATTCTGTTTAGATTATTTATGAGTTTCTTAAAGAGGCCTCTTATTTAACAACTACAAAAAAAAAATTTATATAGGAAATTCACAAAGCTTATAACTAGTTGGGCATTTAGTTAAATTACCTTTCTACCTGCCCACCACCACTTTTATTTCTTACGGAATTTGATTGTCTGACATGTGTACATTTATTGTAGCCATTTATATCAGTCTTTAAGTTAATGTCTGGCTGCAGATATTGCCCATGACACATTTGTAAGATAATTTCTAATATTTTCTTTTTTGCTTAGTTTGAATTTAACGCAGCTCATATTTGATTGGTTGATCAGTGTAAAGCCATCAAGGCTTTATTTTATTTTTTTACAAAAAATGAGACAGTATTTTGCTTTTCTAACCAAATTAATCATTCACTCACCAGTAATTTACAATTGCCTGAGGAAATGCATTATATGTTGAAACATGACTGCAATTGTGTAGCAATTCTTACATGTTTTTGTTGCAATATCCTAAAATATATATATATAATATGTATATATGTAACAACATAGCAAGGTGAAAATGCCACTAAGATGCAAGAGGCCACTGGTAGTGAAAGAGAATGAAAAAGACTAGAAGGAACCAGAAACCTACACCTGTTCAAAAGACAGGGAGGAGGTGAACTGTTGAGGAGAAAAATAAATCTTATTACTTTATAAAACTCTGTGAACTTTGTATCTTGTGTGTTTGTCAGAAATCATATATAGAGAGTCAGGAAAAGAAAGATATAAATTTATTATTGTGTAGGAAGTGGGGGATGGAGCCGATTTTCTTATGAGAAAGTGTATAAAACACAGGAAATCTGGCCCCAAACAGGATCCGTGCAGTTGTCATCAAGGTCTACACCACGCTTGCTTGTGAACTTCACAACCTCACGCTAAAAGCAACAATGATGACAAACTTCAAAGAAACCATTTCAGACTATGGCAACACTGTCCACAGTAAAAAAAAAAAAAAAACAAATTCTATCTCTTGTATCCTCTTTACTATAGACCATGCACACTTGTTGAATTTTTCACACAAACACACATATAACAACATTTCATTATTTCTCACATGTGTACACAAGGAGAATTTATATTTTCTTTCAGAATTTTATTAATCCAAACAAAAAGACATTACTTTCCAATCTATGACCAATTGCTTGTATTCTTGTTGTTATATTAATGTTCATTTGTTGAAACTATGTTGTCTTTTCAAATGAATTTTATTCTTTCAATGAAAATCATTTGATTATTCTAAACAGTTGAATTATGTGCAGCCTCGCAGCAATATTTTATGTTATTGTATCAAATCCCAACACTCCAAATTTTGACATTCCAAGCTCTTATTGTTCAACTTTCTTCAAACAGAAAATTTTTTTAATGTTGAAAGCAACTTCAATAACTGCAAATAAATGTATTTTTAAATTATCTCTACTTTTACAAACTCTTCATGAAACTAAATATAAACAGTAAACAGAACAAGGTTGACCCAATAGGTCATGGGTGGTCTAGTAGTAAATAAAATTACAGAGTTTAGGTGGAGACATATAAGAAAACAGAGATAAAAAATTGAAGGAAATATAAAATAAGATAAAATTAAGAATAATGAAATGGTGAAAGGAAAAGAATAAAATTTATGTGCTTAGCTGTAGTGTGATGTGCCAAGTTGTTGGGTTGAAACCAAGAAGTCAGCCTGCCTGGGGAGTGTCTCCCTAGATCCTGGAGCAAAATAGAGATAGCATTTCTGTCCCTTTCTTTTATAGTTCTGAATTTAATGACACTAACAGAAACCATGACAAACATAGGGTAATCCCAACAAATATAAAAAATGTTAGCCTTTTCATGACAGATGAAGAATTTCTTAAATATTGAAATGAAAATTCTAGCAAAAATAATCATTAAATTAAAATGATTTTATAAAACATAGTACTTTTCATCATTATTCTCTTTTTATTTAGTAAAAACATTCCATAATGCTTTTGCATTAAAAAAAATTTTCTCAAGAATAGCTAAATTTAATCAACTGCAACATTGTTATATATATATATATATATATATATATATATATATATATATATTGTCAATATACCTCATAACACCCTCGAGCACTTAGCCTTGGAACGGGTAGAATAGAGATCAACATGTTTTGGTGGACTCACCAGTTTTCAATCAGCTGTCTGAATGTCTTCAAGAAGTGAGAGCAAGATCTAAAAGGTCAGCCAATCTAACAGTGATCTCATCCTACACTCTTTACTCTTGCTCCATATGTGGCCTCCTTTGTAAATCACTAGCAGGTCTTAAGTGCCACTTAAGATTATCACACAAAATTTCATAACTGAACCAATTAAGTTGTCAGATCCTCATATGTCAAAACTGACGGGAGAGTCCATTATTGTATATTTGGTAATATTTGACTTTTTTAAAATATTTATTTTCGTATTTTAATTTTTTCAATGCAATAGTTGATATATTTTTAGAATTTTAAATTTAACTAGAAATTTGATATGGATCCCCATAGATATAAATAATAATAAAGAGCCATGTTAAATGCTTAAAATTAATTTTTTTTTGAATTAGATGAATTTTGAAAGTTTTTTTTTTAAATCAATTTTTTTTATGCCCTAAAATAATGACAGTGTTTACACAAACAACATTTTTAAATGCAAATATCTCTGATTTTACTTAAAATCTAGAAATAATATTTATATCAATTTTTTTTGTTTTCATTCTTTCAGCTTTCGATTAGCAGAGAAAAATGACTATAAAATTGAATTTTATACATGCTTCATAGTTTTCTTTGTTTTGTTTTTTTTTTTCACTCAGGTGGCAAAATTTTTGCAATGAAAATTTGAGATACCTAATCATGGCATGTCTTAGCTTCAAAGTTAGTGATGAGTTGTGGGGAGAAACGGATTATATGAATATAACAAACCAAAAACTTATTGATCGACTTCAAAGGTGGCATCCAGTAGGCTGTGTATAGTTTACCAACTGAAATAATAAAAAAATGAAAGTTCTCCTTTGAGGAAGGAAGCACCACTTTTATCTGAGGTGTATATTTGAATATTCAGTATAAAATGAGAACATTGACCTAGGAGAATGGATTTTCAGTATCCATAAGAGAAACTGAAAAATTATGTGATTAGATGTTAGGAGGGAGTGTAGGAGAAAAACTAATAGTATTTTTTCACATGAACAAAGTACTGTAAACTTATGAATCAACTTTTTTTTTTCCTGTCAAGCAATCCAAGGGTATTAACTGCAAAAATGGGTAAATAATTGGAGTTATCTCCCTTACTGTTGCTATTAGTAACAGGACTAACATTCTTTTTTTTTCAGTATTAATATTGAAAGAATTTTCTAACGATCAACCAAGCAACATGGTTCGCAGTAAGTAATAATATGATACTCTTTTTAATTAATTTTTCGTTTTAAGTTCGATTTCATATTTTAACGTTAGCTTCCAATATTTCTTACGTTTACAAATATCTTGAATTTATAATTTTTTGTTATTTTAATATTAAGAAAATTTTTATTTTTCATTTGTGATTGTTTGATTTTATTTTCTAAAATCCCAATCGTAATTTATGAAAATGTAAGGTTTTCTTTAAAATGCATTCACAAAAATGTGTATAAGATGCCCTTTTTTTTACAAACATGGCAAAATTGCTCTTTGTAAGATAACAACAATAACATGCTTAAATTAACTTTTTTTGTAAATATTCTTTAAATTTGTTTTCTGTCAAATACTATCGTTTTCATTTATTTTAAGAGATTATTTAGTTGCCAGAAATCTCTGATTGATTTCAGTAATTTAGAGTTTTTTTAACTTGATTTTAAGTTTTTAACTTTTAATTATTGATTAAAAGTCTTGAAGTTCCCCCTAAAAACGAATTCAAAAATTTCGAAAAAAAAAAAAAAACGAAAATGCATTTTAAATAATTTAAAAATTAAATTTTAAATGCCTTCTTTGAACTTAAATTTCGGTTTTATTCTTACAGATGATGATAATAGCGTAACGCCAATAATTAGCGCTAATTAGAATTAAAAGAACAATTATCGCATATGAAGTTTTTATGCATTTAAAACATTGGCACGTTCACTCGTCAAACAGCCATTTAAAGAAAAAAAAATGTAATCAATGAATTTAAATTTTTTTTTTTAAATCCAATATTTGGCTTAGAGATGTATTTTGAAGTCATTTTATAGATTTAAGGTTTAATTAATTGGGTTTTGTAAAAAAAGTAATGTTTACGTTTTAAAACTTAATGAAAATAACGTTTATATACGACGCACGTTAGTCTGTAGGGTTAAAATTAAAAAAAATAACTCACACCTACATTTGACTTAGAAAGAGCGCGAATAATAAAAATTACAAAAATACGGAACCGCAGCCGTGCAATAATTAAAACATTAGTATTTATGTTTAAAAATAAATTACCCTTATATAACCACTGTTTCTGTTTAAGAATGTAATTCTTTATTTGTAATTTGCTTTTTAAAGCACTAAATATCTATTAAAAATTTCCCATTCAGGGTGAATTTTTCATATGTTCACACTTGATATTGCAGAAATTTGTTACTGAAATAACATCTCCAGGGATTTTTCTTTATATAATTATTAAAAATTTAACAAATACCCCCAACACACATAAGATATCGAAAAGTGAGGTCTGAAACATACCCCACCCCCAAATATTTTCAAAGTTTTCTAATAAAATAACCTATTCAGTATACAATTCATTAATTTAAATACTAAAAAATTTGTTTGAATCAGATAATTGAATTCTCTGATTTTTGGAAAGTATTTTAAAACAGGAGTAGTGATGTTTTGCTTTAAAAAAAATGTCAAAATATCCGTGTTTGATATCGTGATGATAAATTATATTTGTAATTTGTATTTGTTGAGTTATATTTGTAACATCAATCCTTCAGTATCTGTCTATATTTCTGAGATGAAGTATTATGTACATTATTTACATTATTCAAACTATTGTCCTCATCTTTGTCACCATATTTATTACAACATTTCGGCCATTGTACACTCCGGCCTTCTTCAAGTGGTTGGAATGTCGAACTGAACCCTTTATTTCACTCACTGGAGTAGGCTGTTCTAGTTCCACGTGCCATGTCTAATGGATGTCAGTTATAACTTATCTCCTGTTAATTCCCCTCTCTAAGTTCTCCACCACCTGAGTGCTAGAGAAAAGCGATAACAACAAAAGTTACAATATGAGCTCTGGTAAAAACATGTGATGATAACAGCAAAAATTGCAATATGAGCACTGGTAAAAAACGGTTGCTGAAATCATTAGGTTTATAATACCTAGAAATTCATACACAGATGTCCTCAAGGACACATGGCACAGTGAATAAAGGTGTTGGTTAGATCCAGTGACAGGACTCCAAAAATGTGAGAACTTGGAGAGGGGAATTAACAGGAGATAACTGATAACTGACATCCATTAGAAATGGCACAGTCTACCCCAATGAACAAAATAAAGGGTTCAGTTCGACATTCCAACCACCTGAAGAAGGCTGGAGCATACAATGGCTGAAACATTGTAAGATGAGGACAATAGTCCGAATAATGTAAATAGTGTAAGGTTACATCAAATGTGGTGACTAAAGTAGAAATACTTGTGCTTGAGTTAGTGTTGCTCTTTCAAGTAGATATGAGAAAATAATTCTTGATAAGATTGAATTAAATAATGAGTAAGATTATTTAAATGAATAATCTGTTTTTGGTAGAGTTGAAGAGACAAACCTTTTTTCACTAGAAACATTTGCATAGATCTAATCAAAAAAAAAGAATTAATAAAAACATGGATTATGCCACTTCAAAACTCTCATATTTCCACCAAAAGTTTTTATCAACAAGTTGCCTAACATCAAATCATGCTGAAAATATTGATTCTCATTTGATCACCAAAGTTAAGCAATCACATTCAATCAGTACTTTGATGAGGTACTGCTTGGGAACACTGTGTATTATAAGCAACCTAAAATCCAATGTATGCTTTGGCTTTAAATAACCCATAAAGGGTTGATAAGCTGTAAAAACTTAATCAACAAATCAGTAGAAATTGAAACAACAAACCAAATAGAATCTCTTTTCTCCACTTTAACTAGAAACATGTTGCTGTTCACTGCAGAAAATTCATTGATGATATATTCTGTAATGGAATTACTGGTGTGAATTTTACCAATAAATGAATCTATAATTACTGGTTGGTTTGAATAAGAATTGCCAGGGTTGTGATTTACAATGTAGGGTAAATTATGCGTTTCAAAAAAGGGTTACAGGTCAGGAGAAGACATGGATTCAATGACAAAAACGATTACACCTTTTAAAAATGAAAAAAAAAAAAAGGAAAAACTTTGTATAATTGCACAAGGCAGAAAATACAAAAGCACACCCACCTAATTTCTTCAGCTGAATCCTAAATCAGAATGTCTCAGCACAAAGGGGTTTTGTGTTTTCAACAGGTTGTTGTCTTGAGTACTTTATGTAGTCCTTTACTGGAAAGTTCAACTTGAGTGTTTGTGTCATTCAAATTATTCTTTGAAAGACTCTGAAAAGAAATTTCTGTTCTGGGCCTTGAATCTGCCAATAGCTGTCAGCCCTTCTTTCTTTCCCTGAGATGATTTATGACCCCTTTGGCTGGACTAATCCTCTGACCTTGAAGTATGGGCACTTCAATGCTTCCTCCTCAACAATTAATTGCTTTCTGAAGCCATCTGCTAACCGAAGCAGTCATTTTATCTCACAAAGGAGGATTACAACAGGTTTCATCACGGGGTTTTCACAAGGGCTTGAGAACAAATCGCTCATTGGCCAGTAAATATAAAAACTTATTTTTCTATAAATTCAAAAAACAAATCCACAACAAATCACAAAGAAATAATTTTGGTGATTCTTTAATTTGATTTAATTCTAAAATAGATTTTCACACAACTGTAATAATTTCTTTTTATAAACTGTCTGGCACAAAAAACCCTTTTCTCAAGAGTACATGTTAAAAAGAAATCTAGACAATTAAACATTCATTTACTACACTAAAGACTAAATAATAAACAAATAAAAGTTTTATAAATATAATGAACCCAACTGAAATTGAAATTAGTCTCTCCAATTAACAATTCCGAGCCATTATCCATTCCACCACCTACACATCCAAGCTTACAGCACCTAGTATTCTCAAGGGGTAGCTCATCTATGTACTGACCAAGCTCTACATTGCTTAAGTTTGGTGATCATACATGAACCAATGTTTCAACGTGATGTGACCATAAGCCCTTTTTTGTGTGAAAGCCAATGACAACATAATACTGAGTTTGGTTCTTGGTTTCATTACATACTGCATATGTTTGCATGAATAAATAATGAACAAAATGTATGAGGTGAAAGGAAAAGAAAACAAGAAATGTTAAATTAAAACTACATTATCAATGTATCTACCATTGAATCAATGGTAGAATGGAACTCTAACCCTAAGTAGCTACTCTAAGTAGCTGCTGGGTCCTTTTAAACACTCAGAGTGGATACATGTCTCAGCTATTTTGTCATACTTTCATTTTAATAGCAACATTTGTGATTGGCTCTTTAATTGACATTTAAATTTTATTTCTTTGATTCTGTTGATGAGCTGGATGTGACGATACTCAGAGAACAATGTTTTAATTTTTTAACCCTCTCCTCTAGCAATCAGATCTGATTGACAACTTTTGATGGCGAGTGAATCAGAAAGAGGTTTAATTTGAAGTAGTGTATAACATTGGTAAAAGAAGAAAAGAAACAAAGAGTGATATTTCCTATAAATCTTTGGACTTTATAGTCTTACATGTCTTTGGTGCAAAAGGCTCTACTTGGTTACTCTATTTTCTAAGGTTTTGTTAAGATTATTTTAACTAAATTTGTGTTTCTTTTTAATTTAAAAGTCTTAACTATATTTTCTTTAATCAGGCATGTTTAGTGCTTTCCTTGTGTTCTGCTAATCTTGTAAATTTTATTTTTCTAGTCCTTTTCTAAGTAATTCAATTTTCACAGGTTACAAAATTTTATTCATGTGATAAAAGCTGACATATTAAAAAGTAATTTATAACAAAAAAAGAAAGAATTCATAGCAAAAAAGAGGGGTGGCAAAAATATATATTACCATAAAATGGTAACACCGAAATGTAACATTTTACGGTAATATATATTTTTTGTTAACCCTCTTTTTGTTATGAATTGTTTTTTTTTGTTATAAACTTTTTTTGATGTCTGCTTTATTGCTCTAATAATTCAATTTTACTTTTAAACTGTTTTTCACTTTCAAATTTTACTAAATTTGGTAATGATTGCATTTGATTTTAGCATAACTGAGTTATGTAATGTATTCTCTTGATGACATGGTGGAAATAGAATTTTCTATTAAGTTAAACCTAACAAATAAAACAACACAATTTATTCATGTTTTAGATTATTTTTATCTTATAAATAAATAAATAGAAATTTTATCTTTGCACTTTACAGATAAAATATCAAAAACTTAGAAATTGCAGTTATTTTTTGATGGCATAATATAGATATACTAATAAAAAAAACTCTTTCTGTAGTTGTAAAATATTTTACTTCATTTTTATTTAGTTACTGAAGATTTAATCCGGAAACGTGCTGAACATAATAACTGTGAAATTTCTACTTTGGAAGAAGTTTCCCTTCATCAACAAGACATCGAAAGGTTTGTAATTTTCAGCAACAAAAACTTCACTATTAGAAATAAAAATCATTTTTTAAATATAATTTTTAACTTTTAGTAGGATAAATTATTATTGTATAAATTTTTGAAATAAGTCATTTTTATCATTCAAAGATATTTTGGGACAACTGAATTAATTTTTGTTGCTCTTACGATGTTTCAGCTAATCTATTACTTAGTTACTACCTGTATGAAAAAAGACAGTCACTTTTTATCTATATTAGTACACCTGATGAATGTTGGAGAAAAGATTGGTTGAAATGTTGTGGGAACAGCAAATATCACAAAAACAAAGGAATGAAAATATCTTTAAATGAAACATTATTGAAGTAAAGAAATCTGTTTTTTTTTTAATTATTCATAAAAATGTGTTCAAAATTAATATTTTTATATATTTATTCCACAAAAAGAAAACTGAAACTACTGTATTAGATGGCATTTAATACTAACACCTCTTATTTTCATTAAATTACTGCAGTATTATAGAGATATGAAATTAGGTTAGGTTAGGTTTGGGTGAACATTAACCTAACTCAGCATATAAGACATGATAGAGATTTTTAATGGAAAAAGCATGTCTTTTTTGGCATTGAATATGATAATTATTTGTGAACTCACACACATATTTTGCATAAGCATTCATTTCTAATTTTAATATCTATGACATATTTTGTTATTGATAAAAATGAATCTCATGTTTGTCAACTGAAAAGTATTTCTATTTTTAAAATGGTCTATTTTACAAAAGAAAAAATAACTTTGTATTAACATTCTCAATTTCATAAAGTCCATTGAAAATATACATAAACCTAGGAAATTTGCTATCTATTGACGGAGGTTTCTATGACTTAAGCAAATGTGTTTTAGGCTTAATGCCACGGATGATCAATATCACTTAGACTGAGCTGTATTAAAACAAATACATGTAAGTCTACAAATGTAATCAGAACCTCTTTTGTGTAACTGTTTCTCGTTATATTACAGAATCGAGAATCTTGACAAGTGGTGCCGAGAATTAAAAATTTTGTACTTGCAAAGTAATCTCATTCCTAAAATTGGTAAGTTTTGATTTTATGGAGAAATGTAAAAATATTTACAATATTTTCTTCATGACTTTCATATTTGATTGGTTATAAATCAGAAATGAATTCTAAGTAAACTCAACTGTTGGTCTTTCACTTAAATCGTTGTATAATAAAGGAAAGAAAATCATAGCCTGTACATTATTTTATTTTGCAGACTGCATGAATTTACATGAGCTACTAGGCTGGCATCTCGGTCCTACCCTTTCACTGTCAAAAATGGTTAAATGTAACTGTCTCTTCTACTCAAACAGCTTCTTTTCTCACACTTCTCATCTGTGGAACTCCCTTCCCCTTGCTTGATTCCCTGATAACTATAATCTTCAAATATTCAAGTGTAATGTCAATCGACATCTGATACCTTGATCTTGTTCCCCATCCTCCTGTTTCTTTTCCCCAAACAAAGCCTCTTTACTCTTGTTCTCAATCCTCTGTAACCCCACATTACTTGGGTTGAATTGCTTTTAAAAAAAAATTCTTTAACAGTTAGTGGGTGGGTGGGTGGATGAATGGTGAAAACAATTAATGTTCTAACCATAAGATTAAAGTTTTGAATCTCACCATAGTCGATTAGTCAAGGACTTCTTGATAATATTGTCCTGGAGAGATGATCCTAGCATGCAGCACCTTTGGAAAGTGCCCGAAAACCATACCATGAGTTGGCCAAAACCTTATGAAGGAAATTAGATAGACAAAATGGAAGCCATCAATGGTTGTGCTAATGGGCTCTTCAGTCTTGCTTGGCAACCAGTCTAGAGATGGTAACTTGATAAAAGCACCCATCCTCCAGAAGCCTGCCTGGGCCACTTGTGGGGATGTGGCATCTTGTAAACAGGCACACTAACTGAAACTCATGTATGTTGCATAATATGCTACAGGTGGAGATGGTGTCTTTAGAAATTTAACAAAAAAAATGCCAAAATATGTGGTCTGCTTTCGATTTTTTTTTTTTTTTACACTGTGCTAAAAGTAATATGATAATAAATTTGAAATAACACATACACCTTGATAATAGTACAAAAAAATAATGAAAAGCAAAACAATATACAAGTGATGTAATACATTTTTTTTTGTGAGATTGTTATGATGATAAGTTGGCCTTGTCTGAATTTACTTTTTATATATATATATATATATATATATATATATATATATATATATATATATATAATTTTTGTTTTTGGGGTTAAAAATACATAATCTGCCCCACAATGGAAATATATAAATTACAAACAAATCATATACAAGATACAACAATAAATGTAAACAAAAATCAATAAAAGGCTTTTGTATACATTTCAGAGACCATTGTATATTTTAAAGAACATATATGTATACAGAGAAAAAAAAAAAAAAGGTTTTGCTTATCTGGTTTGGTAGCGCAGTATATGTTATCAGAGCATTGTACCCAGACTCGAAGTCTGGCTTGTTGAAAGAGAGAAAATTTGATTTTTTTGTTTCAATTGGTGGCAAAAATGCCTGTTACACTGCATGATGAGATTTTTTCACATCTATTTAACTATTTTTTTATAATCTAACTTTTTCTTCATTTATTGTTAATTATCATTTTTATCTATATTTTAAAGCATTTTTATTACTTAGTTGTAACTTTCTCTTTTATTATTAATTATTTATTATTATAGTTTCAGACTTCTGCATAGTGTAGTACTAAGGGTTTAAAAGTTATTTAGTGATTTATTTGTTGCTATTACCACATTAGAAATGGGTTACTATATTTATTCACAAATGTAGTATTTTTTAATTCTCATAATATGCCCCCACTAAAACAGCCTTGTACTAGAATAAACTAATATCTATTCCTATGATAGAGCTGATAAAGACAATATTCAGGGGATCATAAAAAAATACCACATGTTAACAAAAAATACTTAACTGTTCAATAACCTGCAATTTTTTTTTTTTTTTTTATGTCTTCAAATTGTCAGCTGAATAAGGTTTCAATATGGATTATCTAAGTTGTTATCTGAGACACTTTTGGGAATTTAATTTTGTTTTGGTATAAATTCTGGTAATCTTTCACATAAGCATCATAAAATAATCTACCAAAGTTCTGCTCCATTTAGACACCATAAAATGAACTGTCATTTTATATCTTTAAATGTTTTAATTTTATAAATGTTCTTTGCTTAAAATAATTTCATGTAACAGACCAAGTGCCCCACCATCAATCATCAGGTCAAATGAATTATCATTACAAGAAGATATTTTGCAAAAGATTGGGGTTTATTGGAGCGCAGCAGTCACCTTAGGGAGCCTGTAACTGTGGTGCAATGACAGCTCATTTGAAACAGCCTACATTATAACCAGTTGTTGTGGAGTATTTTCACAGTGGAGGCTTGTATTTCTAATAAGTCGTACAAAACGTTAGGAACTTGGAAAATAATAGTCAATGACGCAGCAAATCTAGTCGTGATGGTTGGTACTTCAAATGTCCGAATCTCGACTGACGTTCTCAACGATATTTATTTATACAATGTATAAAATGTGGCACAAGGCCTAAAAGGGGGTGGGGGAAGGACGGTCTTCTTCTGTCTTAATTCTAAACTTAGCTAGTCCCAGACACGGACCCAAACACACCAACAATATTCCTATCACCAAAACAACACATTCACTCATACCTTTCTTACTACGTCCACCATAATACCTCGAATTCTCTATGAAATCCTAACTAGTCCCCCTATGTATAAATATTGTTCGTGGGGGGAGGGGCATAAAACAACAATTTTTTAAAAAGATCCCCAAATGAATATGTACAATATGTCTTAATATTTACAAGAAAATAAACAAAACTTGTGTTAGCAATAAAACCCCCCACAAACCATAAATGTGGCAGGAACATCAGTTAACTGGACGAAATCAATTCGGGACTTATGAAAAATAAGGAGCACATTCATGCCTCCAAGCATTCACATATGCACACACACATTCATACACAACAACAAATACGAAAAATCACACACACGAAAACGAAAGGCGCCCCGCATCCACCAGAGAACTGACATTACGGACCACCTAACGAGGGAGGGGATGGGGAATTAAACAAAAGAAAAATAGGGACAGAAATAAAAGGGACCAATGAGCATACATACCCTAGCCAAGTTAACCAGAAAAAGGAGAAACTAAAGATTCAAAAACAAAACCTAAACTAACCTAATATCGGGTTGGGTTGCCTCTGTTCAACCCTGTTTGGACAAAATTCTGTACCTAACCGACATCCAAGTGCCACTCTAGGTCAGCCCCTTTCACTCTACACATTCGCACAAGATTTACCTACCTTTTGCCAAATTCTGATGAAGGGAGCCGCCGCCTTTCCGTCCTGATCTTGACTTTAAGCTGATGCTTAAAGAACAAGATCAGTTGGGAAGAGGTGAACTTCTCACGATCATAGAATTCCTTCTGACGCGTCGTCCAAATCATGACTCTCATAACCCCTAGTAAGCAGCAGAACACATAGTGCTCCTCCTCTGTCAATTGCGGCACCACATTGCTACAAACAGAACTGGCTTCCAGGACAAAAAACTTTCCCTGCAACATGCAAACCATGAGGCCTTCAACAAACCCGCACAACGGCACTACCGTCTTGCACTGAAAAAAGGCGTGACCAATGGTCTCGACCTTCCCAGTACAGCGACGACAGTTTGGATATTTCTCCAAGCCTGCTGAACAAAGTTCCTTGCCGACCCAGAGGGCCCCATAAAATCATCAGCCAGGTGAGTGATGCCTCATCGTTATTGAGACATTTCAACCCAGGCGCCCAAGGCCATATCGAGCGAGCCTCCTGCTTCGTAAGTCCGAGCTCGCCAATTAGATCATCTTGAACGGCTCCCCTAACTAACAATTGATACAATGCCTTATGAGACAACGCCTGGGCGTCGGAGAGGCCATCCGACGTCCGCAAGAGGAGTTTCAAAGCACGACGACATTCGCGGTAGAAGGAGCACTCGGCTCGGGGTGTACGGCCGGCCTCCTCCTCACACGAGTGCACACTTCTCGGGGATGGGAAATGTTTACGGACATCTTCTTTCCAAAAGGTGCCCACCTCATCCGAACCGCGACACATTCGGTCTAGAAAGGTAATGCGAAGCATATATTGACGAATCTCAATGCTAGGCATACCCAGACCGCCCTCAGAGGGATGAAGGCAACAGATCCGCGACATACTATATGGGCCTTGCCTCTCCACAAGAAAGAGAACAAGGTCTTGACTAATGACATTAGTCGGGCATACGGGAGTGGAAGCACAGAGAGTCGGTACAGGAGGATCGGATAGATGTGCGAAACACAAACCTCCGCCCTTCCCTTCAGGGAAAGTCTCCTCCGAGACCACAGATTAACCGCAACCTCGGCCTTCCCTTGTACCTCCGACCAATTCATTTCCAACTGGAGATCAGGACCGAACCAGACGCCGAGTATCTTCATCGGCCCATCCGTCCAGAGGAAAGGTCCAGGAAGAGAAACTCCCTTCCACGCACCCAACCGCAAGCCCACGGACTTATCGCAGTTGATCTTGGCCCCTGTCACCATCTCATACCCACTGATCTCTTTGCTGACTTCGTTAATCTCGGCTCTGCTCGACACAAGAACTGAAACGTCGTCAGCATAGGCAGAATACCTTGCTGAGGTGGAAGCCCCAGGCAGGGAAATTTCGCGCAGGACCAGATTCGCCTTTAACTTGCGAAGGAAAGGTTCCAACGCAAGAACGTAAAGCAGAGGCGAGAGCGGACAACCTTGACCAATGGAGCGAGACAATGCGAAAGGCTTCGATCTTACCCTATTCACTTCCACCAGCGCACCGGGGGCGCATACACAAAAGTCGGATCCAGGAGCGAAAGTCTCGAAACCGGCCGCCGAAAGGACAGCCTCCAGAAATCGATGGTCAACCCTATCGAAGGCCTTGGACTGATCTAAATTGATCAGCGCGGCTTCACTGACGACTTGTTCTAAGATCAAGCGTA